ATTGGAGATATTGCGAAATATAAATATAATCTGAGTTCTTATATATTTTTTTTAATTGCCACGAAATTGTTAAAATTTAAAGACTTTAAAAGGAAAATACCTTTAAATAAATAAACTTACCAAATCTTTCTATCCACCATAAATAAATATCAGCCGCATTTTAACTACAATAATTGTCATTACTCTAAATATTTGCACCTGTATTACCATCAAAACCATACAAAAATGTAATCAAAACACATATCAAACGGTTACCTATCAAAATACTGATGTCTACAATTGCTTTGATCCTAATGCTGTCAAATGTCAATCTTAATGCAGTCCATTTGCAGTTATGTCCAATTATATTACCTGCAGCTGACAGATGTAAATGCACATACTCAAGCACACATATTTTGAAATACACTCTGCAATCACTTAAATCGAAGGAGATCGTGTGTTATAATTCGTGTACATGCAAAGGGAAACGGTGATTGGGATTATAACGTTCAAAAGAATAATGTAGATTCGGATAAGTGCTAAGACCAATCTAAGGAAATATACCTGAAATCTGCCACCATTCCACGAAAACTCGTTACATCCTGGATTACTGCGACCTAAGTTGATTGCCACAAAATACATATCACTAATTTGCTAAAGACTTGTTTGTGTGCGTATGAGAAATAAGTAAATAAAGCATTCGCCCACCCAATCTTAATGGTATATAATAAGGCATACGGTTATAAAAACTATACCATCTTGCAGTGTTTCAGCAAGATTTTGTTTAGCACCTCCTGCGTGAATAATGGGTGATTCCAGTAATAAATAATTTCTGTCCTAATATGTAATGAGTAGTCTTAAAAAAGCATATATTCTTGATAAACACAAAATTCTACATTGATTTTGCTTCATTTATACGGCAATGTGTCTGTCTCCCCCGTCTTGCTTCCGATCTTTATACCCTACACCACAAGGTGGTCAGGGTATTATGTCTTTGTGCATTTGCTTGTAACAGGCAAAAGGAAACGAGATAGATCTATAGTTTCTTTTGATGATCTGCATAGAATCACATTCTGAGTCGTCCGTCCGTCCGTCCATCTGTCCATGTATTTTTGTAAACAAAGTACAGTTCGCATTTATTGTCCTATCCAGATGAAATTTTGCACAAATCATTTGTTTGGTCCAAGGACGAACCCTATTGAAATTGGAGATAATCGGTCAAAATTTAGATATAGCTCCCATATATATCTTCGTCCGATTTGCTTTTTATTGTGCACCAAACGTTTAATATTTGTCCAAATGGGATGACACTTTGCACTTACGACCGAATTGAGTTTAGAAGCTAGTATGTCAAATTTGGTGAAGATCGGTTCAGTTATAGCTATAGCTCCCATATATATACTGTTCATCCGATTTGTCATTTGTTATTACCCACAGCCGTAATATGCACTCCGTAACAACGATATTCAGGGAAATATATCAAATACAGCTCAGAAATATCTTTGCCAAATTTTATCAAGATCGGTTCCAATTTGGATATAGCTCCCATATATATTTTTATCCGATTTCAAATTAATTTAGTTCTTTGAACTTCAAATTATAATTATAATCATATCGTGTATGATTGAATTTTCCCATAAAAACTTTTAATTGTTATGCGCAGCTTTACTAAATTAGCAAAGTGGTGTAGGGTATCAGAAAGTCGACCCCGCCGACTTTACTGTTTTCTTTACTGGTTTACTTAATTCATTAATTTTCTCAATTAATTTATTTCAATTTTGTACCCTCCACCAAACATAGTATGGAGGGTATATTAAGTTCGTCATTCCGTTTGTAACTCATCAAAATAATAATTTTATATAATATGTATATATATTCTTGATCAGCGTAAAATTCTAAGACGATTTAGCCCTGTCCGCCTGGTGTAATCATGCTAGAGTCAAAACGAATTAGGATTGGAAGCTAAAATTTTGCAGAGAACAACCTTTTGTCTGCAATCAGGTCAAGTTCGAAGATGGTCCACGATATCATATAGCCCCCATATAACGGTAACCCCCGATAGTCGGTATTTTGATGATTTTATATATAGGTCACGATTACAGCACATTTTAGACACATTTTCCAATGGAATTGCCAGAAAATCTACACAAGGAGTTCCTTGTGAGTAGTTTATCCCGTGGGAGAGAATTATCTATATAGGTCCACGATATCGTATAACCTTCACATAACGGTATCCCGCGATATTCGGTATTTTAACGATTTTACCAACATTTTTCAATGGAATTGTCTTCGAAAAGTCTTCGAAATCGTTTATTTTGAAGTTAACCGAGGAGGATGTTAGTAAAAATATTCATTGCACAATGGACTCACATCCGATTTTTTCCTCCAAAACTATTTAAACGCCTCTATATGTAAGTCCTAGAAGCCAACAGTGACCTCATCTTTTTAAATTTATCCCTACACCAAATAACACATTTAGTAATATCTTGACTTCTTCCTCCAAGCACCAACAGTGTTCCAAAACTAGTATCATTTAATGCTTTTCGAACAATTATAGTAAACATTTGCAAAACCACCACCACCACCCTATACCAGATACTAAGAGAGAACTCAATATCAAATGTCGAAATTCCAGCTCTATACATTCGCTTAATAAGCAATATTTTGTACTTTTCGTATAAATTTAGTACTGATTTGCAAAACCGTTCCTTATCTCAATCCTAGACACCAACAGCTGTTGCAATATAAAATATCACGGTTTCAACTCTATCGCTTCACCCCATACAAAATTAAGTTGTATTTAGTAATTTTCGAAAAATTCTAGCACACATTTACAAAACCACCTTCATATCTCCAACTATGATACCAAGAGTGACCTTTTTATCAAATTTCAGGATTTTAGCTCTTCAATTTTCCTAATTGTCAAATTTAGTACAATTATAGTACGCATTTGCAAAGCCAGCTCCAAACCAATAGTGACATCTATGTCAAATTACAGGATTTCAGCTCCTTCACCCAGTAGCAAATTGAGTACTTTTCGTACAATTATGGTACATATTTCCAAAACCACCACAATATATCAATAAAAAGATACCAACAGAGACCTCAATATCAAAATTGGGGATTCCAGTCCTATCCCCTCAGCATATACCCAAATTAGATTCATTTAGTACTTTTTCGTACAAATATAGGACACATTTCCAAACCACCGCAAAGTCTCAAACACAGATTCAAATTTCAGATTTTTTTCCCCTTCATCCAATACCCACATGCACAGTGACCCAAATACAAAATTTCAGATTTCAAATACTATCGGTTCACAAAATGCAAAATTATGCCAAATATAGTACCACTTAACATTTTTGTGCAATTGTAGTACACATTACCAAGACCACCACTTTATCACAAACCTATACAAAATTTCAAAATTCCAACTTCATCCGTTCCAACCAAAGTGTTTCAAATCATTTAGTAGAGTTCGCACACTTAGTACACATTTCCAAAACCACCTGCGTATATTAAACTTATTTTCCAACTTTGATTCTTACCCCAAATTTAATGTTTTCATACCCTCCACCATACTATGGAGGGTATATTAATTTTGTCATTCCGTTTGTAACTCCTCGAAATACTCATGTCAGACTCAACAAAGTATATATATTCTTGATCAGCGTAAAATTCTAAGACGATTTAGCCATGTTCGTCTGTCTTTCTGTCTGTCCGTCTGTCCATCTCTTTGTTGTAATCATCTTTTGAACAAATTGAGACAGAAGGCTAAAATTTTGCACACATGTATATTTTGCCAGTAGGCAGATTAAGTTCGTAATTGGGCCATGTAGGTCCAAGTTATCATATAGCCCCCATATAACGGTACCTCCCGATATTCGGTATTTTGATGATTTTACCGACATTATTCACCGGAATTGTTTCAAATTTGGCATTTGAAGTTCATACTGAATACTACAGCCTAAGACAGAAAATTATCTGTGCAGGTCCACGTCTTCGTGTAGCCCCCATATAACGATACCACCCGGATATTCGGTATTTTGATGATTTTAGCGACTTTATTTAACGGAATCGATCCAAATTTGGTATTTGAAGTTCGTAATAAATACTGCAGCATAAAACAGAAAATGGGCCATGTAGGTCCACGTCTTCATATAGCCCCCATATACCGTACCCCCCGATATTCGGTATTTTGATGATTATAGCGACATTATTTACCGGGATTGTTTCAAATTTCGCATGTGAAGTTCGTAATGGATACTTCAGCCCATTCCAGAAAATTTTCTGTGCAGGTCCACGTCTTCGTATAGCCCCCCGGTACCCCCCATATTCGGTATTTTGATGATTTTAGCTACATTATAAACAGATTTTTTTTTTCAAGTTTCGCATTTAAATATTGTAATAACTTATGACAAAAGTTGCCTATGCAGGTCCACGTCGTCGTATAAGCATTCTTTTTTTTTTTAAGATTTTAACAGAATTTTTAACGGATTTTATTTTTTTATTTATTTATTTTTTTTTTTTTTAAATTGCCAAATTTGTACTAAATGGTGGAGGGTATTAAAAGTCCGTCCCGGCCGAACTTACAGCTTTTTTACTTGTTAGCTCTATCGATTCACATAATACCAAATGGTACAATTTTAGAAGTTAAGTACCTTTTTAGTCTTTAAAAACCCTTTGATACATCTAACCTGCACTCTCATTCCAAGTTTCAGAATTCTAGCTCATTTCGTTTGTCCAATACAAAGTATTAATTTTTTTTACATTGTAGTAATGTTCGTAATCTTTTCTTCATAAATCCAGTCTTACTAACTACCAAAACTGGCCCTCGTGCAAAATTTCCAGATTCTAGCTTCAGCCGATGCGTCTGGTTTCAGCCGATTACATAGGTCAGATATTCGTTATATATAGGTTCGTTATAGATTTAAAAAGTAAAAAAGCAGTTCATTTCGGCCGGGCCGAACTTTTAATACCCTCCACCATTTGGAAGGAACTTGAAAAATTTCAAAAAAAAAAAGTTCCGAGAACTATCACTTAAATGAAAACCGTTATATGGGGGATATACGAAGACGTGGATCTGATAGTACCCATTACGAACTCCAAATACGAAATTTGAAATAATTCCGGTAAATAATGTCCTAAAATCATGAAAATACAGAACATGGGGAGGTAACGTCCGCGTGATTACAACAGGAAGATGGACACCGCTAGATCGTCTTAGAATTCTACGTCTTAGAATTTTTTTACAATGGTGGAGGGTATAAAATCTACAGTATGCGCTTTTCCAAAATTACGACTTGTACCTCAAAATTGACCTAGAAAATGATCAATGTATCAAGTTGTGTTTATTCAATTTCAAAGACGAATACGTAGTTTAAAAGTCAACTATTCTATATCCTTTCAAATTTGCATTTTCAAATCGGACACTGACTTACTTGATTAGCGTAGTAGTATTCATTCACTTTACAAATGGCCTCTTTAATATTCTTCTTAAATTCTCCCATGCTTGTGTTCTTAATAATATTCATTCTTAATCTTGCTTAATGTAACATTTTGCCCAGATTAGTTACTTGCTCTGACACGACAATCCCCAATGTAAACTGCTATTCTGATAAATCGATTCACGGAAGTATGATGTCTCGATGGTTGGAGGGTGAAAGTTGCTATGATATGAGGATACGATATTGAACATATTAACTTATAAGTACACACACAGACACATACACCTATGTGGTGGATGTAGTATTCCATTGAGACATCATATGAAACTACTTAAAGTCAGAACAATTATTGTTGTATCGCTTTCCACTCAAACTATTGACACACAACTACAATTCAAATAATGAAATTGTTCTTGTGCAAGTAATGTCAATATGTTTGCAGGTACACATTGACAGTTTAGTAAACTGAGACACTTTTAATAATACATTTATTTGTGGACGTTAAGATGGGTAGTTTAATCACAAAACTTCATGAATGATGATAGGTCCATAAATCCAACCTTTAGTTTGTTTATAAATTAATAATGTCGCGAAAATCATAATATTCGGTATATGATATTCGGTATATCTGCGGGTTCCGTTATATGGGCTCTATAAGGGCATAATGTACTCCGAAGGAACCCCTTGTGTGGATTTTAAGGCAGGGGGTAAAGTACTCACGAAGAACTTACCTTATATGGGGGCCTATACGATATCGTGTACTTATATAGACAATTCTTTTTCAGGAGTAAAGTACTCACGAAGATCTCTTTGTGTGAAATTTCAGACAATTCCATTAAAAATGTGCATAAAATCAGCAAAATACCGAATATCGGGGGGGGGGGGTGCTTATATGGGGGCTATACGATATCGTGGACTTATATGTACAATTTTTTTCAGGGGTAAAAGTATTCACGAAGAACTCCTTGTGTAGAATTTCAGACAATTCCATTGAAAAATGTGGCTAAAATCATCAAAATACCGAATATCGGGGGGATATTCGGTATTTTGACGATTTTCTCCACATTTTTCAATGACCCGATTCGTGGACCAATATAGCCCGGTGCAAAATTTCAACTTCCTATCTTGTGTCGTTTTGACTCTAGCGGGATTACAACAGACGGACAGATGGGTCTAATGGGTTGTTGGGTCTAAAATTATTGTTTCGATGAATTACAAACGGAATGACGAACCTAATATACCCTCTATAATATGTATGGTGGAGGGTATAACAATATGTTTTAACGAACCACCTCAATATACACCCATTTATCTGAGTATCTTTCGTTTGAACACAAGTCCCTTAGCATGTTCCCATACACAATAGGCATACGCATCGGTATGTAACATATTTTTACTCTGAATAGTAACTAGGAAACGGTCACCCACCAACATACATACATACATACGTACATGCAATGCCATGGCAAATGTTGAATATTGTTCAGCGGTGGCATAGGTGTTTTCTGTTCACAGTAAATGGCACACACGCACTACACGTCACTTTACTTCCCTCCACTTCACATATACCCACACCTTCATCTGCACAATTTAACAAGCGAGTATTATGAACACTTATTTAATTATAGATTCTATATGCCCTAAAGGCAGTCATTTAATTCTATTATTTAGCAACATTAACCTTGTTGTCACAAATGTCAATGTGGCGGTAGAACCGCCTCAATGATTAAAATTTAATAAGGCACACTTGTCCATAACCTTTAATTAAATAGACGGCAATAGTGTTTATTACTAATAATAAAACATGTAAAATATTGTAACCATAAATAGCAGGGTTTATTAAAAAAAAAACGCTTAATACGCCAAATATTAGGGGTGGATGTAATTTTGTTACGAGACGCTGCCTTGGGCTGGTGACTGACTGTATGTGCATTTTGTTAATACTTACAAATTACAGGTAGTTATTCAAATTAATTAATTTATGCTTAAAAGAGATTTAATTAAACCCACCAATTAGAAAATAGCTAATTAATATTAACGACATGAAATTGGTTATACCTTTTTAAGAAAACGTGGCTGAAGACTACTGTAATTAAATATTCTATGTTACCATTATTACATGCAGAAATCATTTCAACGGATTTGAAACCAGCAAGAAAAATTTTAAAGGTTAACACAAGTAAACGGTAAATTAACATTTGTAACTATGAATTATATATAAAACTTTTGAGATTTTTAATTCACTCGGTATTAGATAAAATATTCGTCCTTCCAAACCATAGCAAAATGTTTTAAAATCAATCCAATCCAACACGTCACCTTCATTGAGCATATAAGAGTCTCTTTGAATGAAAATTGTGACAGGGATTAAAATACGTTAAATTTTCCGGGCCAATATACAAAACTTTTACAGGCAATTTCGATTGGAAACTTAAACTTTCAAAACAATGGACAAATATTATAAAAATTATTATGGCTTGTATTCCCTGGGAACCTGAAATGGTTTGTATCCCCTGGGAACCTAATGAAATGAAAATAATCAAATTCTCCTTGGCGTTAAAGTGCGGTGTTTTATGGTTTTAATACTAAACTACAATCTTCTTCTGTTCAAATGCGATAATTTCGATAAATTGGAGAATTGACTTTAGATATAGTCGGGAACTCAATAGCTTTCCAGGCGCACTCGATAATCGGGAATTTAATGTTTATGGTGATCGGGAATACTAGTGTTGAGATTAAGTTTCTTGAAGACTTATAGACAATCGTGAACTTTGATGTAGAAATATCGGGTTGTTGACGATTGGAGGATAACCAGATATTACTATGGTAATTTCCGGGTTGTCGACGAAGTATCTATACAAAAGAAAGTTTTGTTAGTTACTATGCTTATAACTCAAGAACCGCTGATCTGATTTTAAAGATTCAGATAAATTCGGTATTGTTTCTTGGCAGAAAAGGATGAAATCCAAAAAAAATCGCACAAAAGAAAGTTGTGTTAGTTACTACGCTTATAACTCAAGAACAGCTGATCTGATCTTAACTAAAAAAAATCGTAAAAATAAAAGATTTAAAATTTTTCATTTTGACTTTTGAAATGTACAATAGTAATGTTTTATTTTTCACGATTTTTTTCAATTTTGACTTACTATTTTCAAACGTACATTTGCAGTGTTTTTTTTTTTTTTTTTCTTTTTGAATTCTAATATGATGTATTATGTTTTTGGGGAGTATAAAGCGACTACAATTATGGGATGTCGAACCTAAACCAAAATAATTGAACTCAGTCTAAACAAAGTTAAAGGATAATTACTTTTTCAAAATCGCTAAAAAATCAAAAAAGAGCCTCTCATCCATCTCATGGCAAAAATTCCAAAAACGGGAAAAAAATAGTGAAAAAAAATTTTCAATGGAATCGAATTTCTAAATAATAGTAAGGACCGAAATTCGTAAGGACCATTAAACATTTGCTGTAAAAAAAACAGCGAACAGGTGAAGATTTTTTCTTTTCAATTGGTTTTTCTTTTCTGTCAATTTTATATAATGTACGATTTTCTTTTTCAATTGGGCTTGTCATATTAAATTCAACCGTTTTTTTGTGAACAAAATGAAGAACTATTTTTACCATATAAAAGAAAGTTATATTAGTTACTATGCTTATAACTCAAGAACAGCTTAACGGATTTTAACAATTCATACAATTTAGGAATCCGCCCAATGAGAACTCAAAAAGCAAAATTCATTGGGACTGCAATCAGTGAAATACTGACTATAAAGGGCGCAAAAAAGAAGTAAGAAAAGGATTTCTATCCTTTCAGAAATTCTTCCTAAATATTCAAAATACCATAAATCATAATACCCGATATTGGGGAACTCAGGTCATGTACGAGGAGTAGATAGTCAGGAACTCAGCGTTTCTGGGTTGATTAGTCGGCTTATGTTACGGTCTACGTTTACCTGTACATGACAACTCCACATTTTGGTTGGAACAACGCACTATGGGTTTTTTTACGTTTATTTTGGCATAAACTCTAATTTCAAAGCTATTGAATTAAAATTTGGTTTGTATGCATTTTTTATGCTTCCAAGATGACCTACCAATTTTCATATGATTTGGGGCACTATTTCATATAGCTGCTATATAGCCGATCTGGCCGATTTGACCCAACTTTTTTGTTTATGAAGCTATTGAAGTGAAATTTGGTTTGTATTAATTTTTTATACCCCAAAGATGACTTACAAATTTTCATATGATTTGGGGCATTATTTCATATAGCTGCTATATAGCCGATTTGGCCGATTTGACCCAACTTTTTTGTTTATGAAGCTATTGAAGTGAAATTTGGTTTGTATTAATTTTTATGCCCCCAAGATGACCTACGAATTTTCATATGATTTGGGGAACTATTTCATATAGCTGCTATATAGCCGATTTGACCCAACTTTTTTGTTTATGAAGCTATTGAAGTGAAATTTGGTTTGTATTAATTTTTTAAGCCCCCCCCCCCCCAAGATGACTTACGAATTTTCATATGATTTGGGGCACTATTTCTTATGTAGCTGCTATATAGCCGGTCTGGCCTATTTGACCCAACTTTTTTATTTATGAAGCTGTTGAAGTGATATTTGATTTGTATTCATTTTTATGCCCCCAAGATGACCTACGAATTTTCATATGATTTGGGGCACTATTTCATGTAGCTGCTATATAGCCGATCTGGCCGATCGGCTATGATGATTTGGAGAAACATACTGCTCATTCATTACAATAATTATACTTTTGCTAAGCCATTTTGAATGTTTAGTTTTAAATCGCTCTAGTTTACGGATGCACTTTGGCAAATGCTTTTTTATATAATTAACAAAATCTTTCACTTGTTTTGATATCAAACGCAGTTGGTCTTCATTTAAACTGATATTATTGATATTCTGTAACACATATTTCACAAGTGCATCTTCTGAGCGATTGTTGATTCTCCAAATTTCAATAAGCGCTGCATGGACAAACACATGTTTATCTGCAAAACACGTGTTGGCACAAAATAGAACAAAAAAGGCTAGTTACTCATTAATTAACACACTTTTGTTAATAACTTGGCATTTATACCTTTTTGCAATGCTTTGCCATTCACAAGTTACACTCCACGGAACACAACTACAATTTATAGTTTTTATATAAAGCTATACATAAACGAAACAATTCACAGTATTACAACAACAGACAATTATGACAAAAAGGGCACCCCGTCTTAATTTTACATACCTGCACTAACGTTTTCCATAATTACACATTTTATTTTTTTCAATTTTGTCAAATCAGAAGCACTTGAACTTAGCTGATTTTTACCGCCAGTTGTACCAAAACAAAGTGACTTTCAAAC